GTTTTACATCTCCCTGGTTATAACTTTGGCTTTCTAATATTTAACAAAGGGCCCAGAAATCAATCAAACCAATGCATCTGTTAAATATTTAGGTCTCAAGTCACTCACTAAATCTTGCTTAGGCTACCTAGGCTACCTAGGCCTAGACAAGACCTAGGCTAGCCTAGCCTACCTATAGCATTGAAGTACTTATTATTAAAAGTTGAACATTTTCAAAATATCATTATGAGAAAATAATATGAATATAAGGCAGTACATTAAATTAAATATTCTAACTTCCTAAATTAACCAGATTGAACGATCAAACGATCTTCTATTGAGAGAAAGATATCATGCCATCCTCCTGTAGTGGTTGGTGAATGACTTGGGGATCATCTTAATAATTAAACACTCACGCATGTGGAGATAAGAGCTGAAAGCTAGCTAGAGTGTACTCTCTGGGCTGCGGTACCTCCTGCGCAGGGATTGTCTCGAAAGTTCCGATTTTTTTTTATTTTTTTTTTTTATTTTTTTTTTTAAGAAAATGTTTTTTCTTCCTAATTCTCCACTAGACAACCGGGCAACATGAGGAGTAAATAAGCTAGCCCGGAGCGGTTTTTACTAGACACTGTACGGCGGGCTAGTACTAAATCGAGCCCTGATTTGGTTTTTTAAAGTGGGGGTGGAGAAGTAGTTATTATCAGATCAGTAATTAAGCGAAATTAATCTTTCAAATTGTAATCATTGTTGGCTGCACGGAAAATGAATTAAGTTTTGACCAAGGTAAAGGTGCTTTGGTCAAAATTGAACCAATGCAAACAACTATAAGCATACAACCATCTGCAATATTTCCAGGCCCACATATGCAATATGATATTGATACAAACTCTCAAGATGTTAATTAATGGATAGAAATCCTTCTCCACATGTGGTATTAAAATTTGACATACTATATCCATCAGTGTAAGTAGTATTGAATCTTGGCTACTGAATAAAACATGTGTGTCTTAGATATAGTTTTATATCTATTAATTAATTTATGGTTCTATTTTCAAGGGTTGAAAGCTGGGGAATAGTGGTAATCTAATGCAACGACTTTTAAAGTAGAACAGTACTTGTATGATAATTGGGGATTCATTTATAAATGCGTTTTTTTTTTTTGGTTTTTTTTTGTGTTGCAGTGATGGTGTTGATGCAAGTGGTGGTAACAACGTTCTCTTGTTCACCATACTGAACCCTCGCTACCCTATCACCACAGTAAGTAAACTCCACTTTTTACTTACATCTTAGCTAAATGCTCTGTTCACACTATGTAACAAATATTTATTATTTGCCCAAATTTTGTCATGGTGCCATTTATTGTACACCTTGGCATGATGATGTCACATCACACCCATATGTTGGCATGATGATGTCAAATCACAGCCATTCATATATGTGCATGATGATGTCATTAACTTAATATTGTAAACAAAGCTTATAATGGCTGTTTGTTGGTCTAATAAACATGTTTAATTGCTTGCTTTTTATATTTCATTAAGCAATTTTTCAGAATTATTATGCTATTACATGAATGGTTTGATCGGCAACCAATGCTAATTAGATTGTTAATTAGTCTGTACATGTTGGACTTCTTCAAAAAGCACCCTGCATGAGCTACGTAGTAGCAATGAAATCAGGGACGTCAAGGAGAAGGAGAATAACTCTTGGTTTGTTCAATGGGTGAGGTAGTGCTAGAATAAATGGTATATCTATCTCAATCCACAAACCTACAATCTAAGATTTTTTTAATGTAGAGTGTAATATATGATACCTTTTTCTCCACTTTATACACAATTTAAGGCAGGATTTATTGTTGTTGAATAGCTTGGTGGCTAAGCTACTTGCCTTCCAATCCCAGAGTCCTGGGTTCAATTTCTGTCAGTGTTGCAGGATTTTTCTCGCCTCCAACACAACTCCACTTCCTAAACCTCATATTGAGGTTTATTTTAGTTAGGTTAAAGCATAAAGTGTATGTTTGTTTTGTGAAAAGGATTTGTCACCTTCTCGTAGGACAGTAATATATTCGCTATTGGCAATCCTTGGCACGTGTGTGTGTGCGTCTTAATGATTATAAAATAATAATAATTTTTGATGTGTTTTATTTCAGGATGTTCTCCATTCTATCTGCAAGGGATATGGTGAGGTACTCCGAATTGTGGTCTTCAAGAAAAATGGCGTGCAAGCCATGGTTGAATATCCTTTACCGTTAAATTTTTAGTGTTTATCCTGAAAGTGTTACTACCCAAAGTCCTACATCCCAGTAATTGGCTATGATGTAAATGTGTAAGACATCTATACTGAAGGCATGTATATTGTGAATTTAGCATATATTATGCCAAACAGGTTGAACTAGATGTTGATTTTATGGCCATTTCTTTGCCATCCCAAAACCACCATCAGTGAGTGACCAAAACAAGAAAACTGACTTTGTAATACTGTTGAAATAATTGATGCGGCAAAAATAATTTTTTTAAAATTCCCGCATCAATATATTTTGATGAGGGCGGAGTGAAAATCTAATAAATTTTTCTATTTGCCCTTATTATAGTTGGCTTGGTGTTTTTATCCTTAACTTTGTTTTCACGTTCGACACCATACCAAGTGCAACTGCAGCACTGCAGAACTTGAACGGATGTGACGTATACTCTGGCTGTTGCTCTCTGCGCATCGACTACGCTAGGGTAAGTATTCTCAAGTATTTCTTATGCTATTGTTCTACAAGCTCATGTATTTCTGCTGCAGTCATAAAAGTTGATTATGTTTATAGATATACTTCAAATTTATCTTGATCCTAACTCAAGTTATGTGCTTATACAGCCCAAGACGTTGACTGTGCATAAGAATGATCAAGAAACATTTGACTACACCAACCCCACCCTTGGAGCAATTGCAAGCAACCCAAGTAAGTCGCTAACAAGGGGTAACACGATTCCTAGACTTTTTAAATACATCTTGTATTTGTTTTTAGAATTTAACATGTTTACAATTCCCAAATTGTCTAGTTGACCAACACTTAAATATTAATTTTTTAATACTGAATTGTAATGAAGTTAGATGTTTAATATTGTTAATTATATGATTTTGGTTTTATATAACAATGTTTTTAACATTATGCTAACCAAGTTTTTTCTCATTTACAGCTTCTCTTCAGAGAGACCCAAAGGAAATCAAAATTCTTATCTTTTTTATATATTAATGATTAACAGTTATTTCATGTGCATTTAATTTATCACTCAGCATTTAACGTATCAGATTTTAATTGTCACATTGAAACCAGTCTTTGTCGGCCTGACAATGATGATACAGTCTATAACCATCAGGGTAAAAACACAGAAACATGTCAGCCAGACAGAACAAAGGCTATATAATATCAAGCACGCCAGCCTCAGAACACTCAAGATCAACCAAGAATACTCAGCTATCATTGGATACAATAAAGACGAGGTCAAGTTTAACATTGACCCAATCATTCACAGTTACTCAATGGCATCCACCGAATTGACATCAAGGATCTCTTTCTCAACAATCTGAACAGGAAACATGTATTTGATGCTACACTAGATCCTATCATAAGACAAACTCAACAGGAATATGTCTGATGCCACACTAGATTCTTTCACGAGACGTTACAAATATTTGAACAATTGTTACACCATTTCATACTTAAAATTTGGCAGTCTTGCCATATGTTCTAGTACATGACATTGTTACTCTCAACAAGATGAAATGATTATATTATATTGTCACCTTCCAACAAGAATGTTCTGGCAACTCCAGAAACATAGGCAACTCAAGAAACACACAGGCAACTCCAGAAACACACATGGCTCTTGTATGGAAACACACACTCAGAACCATGAACAGGATACCATTCATTCTAACACAGCAGATTCCGAAGCCATTATCAACAGTCTTCTCTTCATTAAAATCTATGGATACGGTTGCTCCTCCCATCAACAGACTTCTGAGTATCATCCCTTCTCCTGCAAGCATCCTCATTTTCAACTTCTTGTTCCTGGTGGAAGGGCTTCATCCTGGTCGCATTCCTTGTGCATGCGCTGACTTCTAATCTCTCTTAATGCATCCCTACTGAGCTCCAGAAATGTTCCTATTTACAGACAGTTCATACTCAGCAAAAACCACATCATCAGATGGGATGTACATACAGTTGAAACTCTAAATAAGAGCGTCTCACCAACTCTGATACCTCCATTTACTACCTTTACCCTTTAAGGACAATTTCTACCTCATGGGTGGTTCTTGGATAGAGTTTCCACTGTATTATAATCAAGGTTCAACTAATTTTTTCTCATTTTAACATGGAAAAATCATCATAATGTATTTCTATCACTACATTGCATGCAAACCTGCCTTCTTACAGTTTAAATGGTCATTGTTATAAATACAAGTTATTATACAGATTTATATTATCATTGTAACATGCTGGGACATGGAAACATTCATTGTGACAATAAAAGATACCAAAACCTGCGTGCCATGTTTTTCTTACATCATCAAGAACTTGTATAGGCAACTTACAGCAACAAGGCTCAAACCAGCTCCCCAAGCAATAATTAAATAATTCAAAACAATGGAGTAGTCCAAACAACAATGGAATAACCCATACAGACCTTGGCAAAGGATATAGTACATGCAAGCAATACAAAGCCAGCATTGAACAACAAATTTTTCATTATATACCAAGTTTATATGAAATACTAAAATGTTAATACTTATTATTCTAAATCTGCACAATAAACATCACAAAAAATGAACATACCATGTTCCTGAAAAAAAAATTAAAAAAAATCAACAAATACAAAATTTGAGACAAAAATACTATCCAAATTTAAATGTTCATATATAATTTACCATTTGTGGAATTGCTTGCATTTGCTGGTTACGGTCGTACTCTCCATCATCTTGAAATTTGGAACCTTTGTCATTCTCTTGTCTTGGTCACTCGAACTACACTCCTTCCCTCACTGATCACCGGCAGGTGTTGCCGCCATGGTGGTATATGAGACCATGTTGTGGGAGTTGCTGGCTCGCTGTATGACAACAAGCCTCGCTTGTTGACGTCAAACCAAGCACGTGTAAGTCATGCTTGTCTGATAACCTCTTGCTTTTATTCTATAGTGCAAATTAAGCTGATTTATTTCCATTGTGAAAAAGCTGATATACCCGGTTGTTTCACATGCACTAACTGATGTCACAGGTCATGGCTTATGAACAAATTGCAGTCTATTTTTAAACCACTTGCAGTCTTGCGTTTAATGCAGGGAATTTAGAAATGGTATTATGTGTCCGTCAGTATTCACTTATAAATTACAAGATAATAATGCAAGAAATATGTAATCTATTCAAATTCTAAATTTTATTTTTGGCACTCTTCACATAGTATAAGTCTCGGTCTAGACTACCAAATTTTCTTTGACAAAAAACTGTTGCACATATATGGTCATAATGTGATGTGGTCATAGCCATATTTAGACATGTTGCATGTTTTTGACAAATAAATGCTTTGACGTTAGAGGTAGTTACTTCATGTGAAACTATAAAACAGCTTGTTAAAATGATAAATTTTCTATTGTAGACCATTGCAAAATATTAACTATATTAATTAATTTTGTTCATACCTGAACTTAAGCAAGTTGGTACATATGATTATGATTTTACTACAAATTGTATAAAAGGATAAAAAATTGAAAACAATTTCTGTTTCTGTTGTGTATTTTCTTTGATGGCTATGTATGTTTTATTTTCATATTTTGCAATTATGTCTTCCTTATTGTTGTACTTAAAATTTGTAAACATTTCTATGTTTTATTTTACTGTATAGTATCTTTATATAGACAATATATAATATTTTGATACAGGTATATTAACAACATAATGCTTTTACATTTGTTTATACTATTTCCAATATTTAATTAGACAAGTTGTGCAGTCAGTACAAGACATCCCTATTCCATTATTTATATTCTTTGCAAGTATAATTTAAAACATTTTTTTGGCAACATGTATATTAATGTTCATATTTCTAACATGGTGTACATGAACTCTTGGTCAATTTCTCTCAACTGAACAACTATTTCCCAGCATTTTGTTTTTCTTGTTTGTATCTTAAATGGTAGTGTTGCATTATGGACTTGTTTTAATGTCATTTGATTTTGTTTACCAGATCGTGGTTCAGCCCTGCTAGATGACCCACCGGAGCCTGCTTACAACGGACCAAGTGTCCGCGGCAGAGGAAGAAATGAGGCAATGAATCCAGGAGGCCGTGGAGGCTATGGTAAGACTGTTCATTTATGAATTAATACATACTGATGTAACAATGCTTGCACATTCTTATGGTATTTATTCGGTTTAATATCTTGCAACAGTATGCTGGTTTTGGGATGGCAAGCCTCATGTTAACATATTTAAGATAAGATTAATATATTTTCTCCATGATACTGTAACACTAAGAAAATACATTTAATCTTGCCTCAGTTGACTTTGCTTAACTCAAATAATTTCAAATTTGATCTTATTTACCTGCCAAATTGTTGTGTTTCCATTAATTAACAATCTGTAAGTCAATTTTTTTTCTAAGTCAAAAAAAATTTTCAGTGGCATTTTGGAATTGACTTAGGCAAGTTTTCCTGTCTAGCCATAGTTATATTACATTTAAATATTGATGACAATGTTATATTATTTATAAAGGTATGGAGCCCCAGATGCCCGCATATGGGAATGGTAGCCGAGCTGGTTTCCAGGAGCGTGGTTACCCAGCCCGGGGTGGTGGATACCCTGGTGACCGTGGTGAATATGGCCAGGGGTACCAAGATCCATATGCTATGCAGCCTCCATCGGCACTCACTTCGGCTATGACTGGCGGTCCTGTGGTGATGGTGTACAACATGGATCCCGAGAAGATGAATTGCGAGAGACTTTTCAACTTGCTCTGTCTCTATGGAAACGTCGTCAAGGTATTGTACCATAGGCTGCATCATGTTCTCTTATAAAATAAGTAATTTTTATCTATAATTTTAATGATGGGTCATGCATTCAACATAACGGTTGGTTGGTTGGTTGGATTTATTCGGTGTAAATACCAAGGATAGCCCACAAAAGTCTAGAAAACTTATTTCCAATGGGGTCCTTCTTGTGGTGATTGGGCAGTACACTGGGAGACAATCCCCTACTCTTTTACGAAGAGTGTACTGCATTCTATAACATGCACATGGGCCATGAGAGATGTTCATTTAGTAGCCTTAATGCTCTAAGACATCGCATGATGCTTAGGGAGTGGAAAGCTGACACTGTAGCACACTCCATAAAAACTGCTGCTGTTCAAGAAGAAATATGGCTACCTGTGCTTTTTCATTATAGTAATGTTCAATTATATTTTTCTTGAAGATCAAATTTATGAAGACAAAACCAGGGTGTGCTATGGCTGAAATGGCTGATGCTTTAGCAGTTGAAAGAGCCATTACCAACCTCAGCAACATTGAGTTCTATGGAAAGACTATCCAGCTTGGGTAAGGCAATATTAATCAAAGCAAGCAGGCTTATTTAAAATATTACCTGCTGAACATTTTACTGCCATTTTATTCTGCTAGATTAATTAATTGACTTCATTGCTTAATTAACACATAATAAAAAAAAAAAAATACGGACGAAAATTAAAAGTAATGTGCTTCTAGGACACCCATTAGGCTTGAGACTGGTCCAAAATTGTTAGATAAACAATTTATGAATAAACATTAAAATGGTCTGGCAGTATTTGCTTGCTTAGTATTAATGATTTACATAGTCTTGCCATTTTAGTAGTCTTTTTTACACAAAATTTGTTTTATCTATTTTCTTTTTAACAATAGTTGTTGTCATTCATTCAAGTGAGAAGCTATGGTTGTTTCCAATAGTTGCTTTAACAGGCACTATAGAAATGTGATGTATTATTGTTAAAGTTGAATGTGATTATGTTGTATTTGTAGTAATCATTATTAACTTCTATTTCACAGCTTCTCCAAGCAGATGTACATTTCGCCACCACCAGTAGTTGGTGATCTTCCTGATGGTACACCAGCATTCAAAGACTTCTCCAGCAGCCGAAACAACCGTTTCTCCACCGTAGAATCAGCTGCCAAAAACCGTATTCAGCAACCATCCAAAGTCCTCCACTTCTTCAACTCGCATCCAGAAAGTGATATCGAGAGAGTCAGACAGGTGAACACAACCTACTTATCCCTATCTGCTCTTTAGTTTTTGTTTGTGTGATGTGACTTCTTTAAATTTTGTAATGTCACTAAGGTCTCTTTGGTCAAATAAATGGTGTTTACTGTCAGTTTTAACTAACTAAACTATCTTGCTCTCTGTATTGATGGTAATGTTTGGTTTTTTTCTGTTGCTTTATTAGGTATTTATTGCCGGTGGAGCTGTTGAACCATTAAACATTAAAATGTTTGAAGCAAAGAGTGAGTAACCACTAAAACCATTATTTCCATTCCCAAGTAATCCAGTTATATAGTTTATTATTGACAATGATTACAATGTTGACGAGTGCAGGTCTCTAGATGAGCATACCTATGAATCTTTGTAATTTGCAATATACAAGGTAGTGTAAGACTTATCAGTATCTTGGCTTTTCTGATGTTAACGTAAGTGCAGGCCATAAATTAAAGAATTTTTTAAGCCCAATGAAATTTTATTTTTGGTATTGTGTTATTTGAGCACACTGCAAGATTAAACCTCTTTCTGACAGACGTTGCCACAATATTGTAGTAAAGCATGCCAGCATAATAACCGGTCTATAACCTTTCACACAGCGCCTTTGTTACTGCAATATTGCAGTAATATAATGCTTTTCTGTCTGAAAGGGTCATAGAAAGGCGTAATATTGGCGGTTTAAAATACAGAGGGTGCAATTTTTTGTTTGCATTTTTGTCAATATGACGATGGATTAAACCTTACAGCTGTTGCTGTGTAAATGTTGTTGTTCCAAGGGCAGTAAATTTAACCTTTCTTTAGGGTAGAAGCGCTGATGACTATCGTCTATTGCTGTTTTATGCCACCTTCCTCAAAGTGTCCAAAAAATAAAATAAATAGTATACTGTATTGTGTAAATGTTTTTGTTGTGTTGATTCTTTGTCGATTGCTGGTTGACTTAATTACATTCACAATGGCGATGAAAAATGGGAGATTTATTTTTGACAACCCACAAAAAGAAATTAAATACCACCACGCTCAATTGTTTTCAGCTTTAATCTTTGTTTTTTTTCAATGCATGAATAATGCACACACCGGCTTTATTGCTGCAATAACCTTTCAGACAGAGCAAGCCAGTAACCGTTACCAAAATATTGCGGCATTATTACCAGGGTGCACGGTGGTCTAAAGTAAGCCAGCATATTGGCGTATCGACCCTTTTCAGACAGAAACACATGCCGGCGTGCTTATTGCAACTCGTATCTGAAAGGGGCTTCAGTCACTATAGCCTCTGCATGCTTCTGTTCCTCCTCAGCCTGATGGATGTTTTATTTTATTTTTTATTTTACCTTCATCTACAGATGATCGTAGCCGCACTGGTCTAGCCGAGTTTCCCGATAAGTCAAAGGCTATTGAAGCATTGATTGTCTGTAACCACACACCTATGGACAATCCAAGTGAGTTCATTTTTACAGGAAGAGTTTTTTCCTTTCAATCCCTAGTAATATTCACACAATCAGCAGATTCAGGGGATGGTGAAAGAAAATTTTTCAAATAAAAATGAATATGGAGAAAAATTACATTCATATTTTTCATCTGAATTTATAGTCTAGAAGTGTCACAGATCTGCTGCTCCATCTGTAAAATTGATTATCTGGGCCCTCTATTTCAAATTATTGGATCCACCACCGACAATGTTTATGTAAATGTCTAAAGAAAACATTTCTAAAGTGTTTCTGATAGTAACTATAAAAGGTATAATGTATGTTATAAAATACACAATGACTTCCAATTAATTATTCTTTCATTTATTCTAATATAATTTCTATATAAAATAATCTTTTAAAGCAAATTGTTTATTTATATTATGATTTTGCTATGCATTAATTTATATATTGTTCTTTCAGATGGCCGTTTCCCTTACACTTTCAAGCTCTGTTTTTCAAATTCAATGCATGCACAATAAAACACTCCAGCTATGTTTCTGAGCTGTTGTCATAATTAAACATAATTTAACCTTTTCATTCTATTTCGAGAAAAAGAAGTGGTTATCTGTTACCGAATTGGATAGTTAACAAGCTACCTTTACATAATTTGGTAAAATATAAATGTTGATCATGACTATATGGAACATTGTTAAAAATAGGCATAGCTAAGTTTTTTACAATTTGTATATAATGGGATGATTGTTGAGATGAGTTGAGATGAGAAAAACAACTAAAAGTGAGTAAGAGATTCTTAATGCCACTCAAGGGTAGATGACGTATGTGTTCGCAAATGTACAAGTGTTTTTTAAATTGAACAGATTTTGTTTGCATTGGAAGTTCCAAATTTAGTCATTAAAAGTGAGATTATTACATTTTTTGCCTTATTTTGGGTAGTTGTATTTGATATTGAAATATGTTTTTTTAAAATAATGTATTCTTACAATCCCACTGATTTTTTTCATTGAGAAAAAAAAAACTCAATTTCTGTGTAAAGATATTATTAGAGGGCGCTATTCAGAAAGTAGGCTGGTTTTATATACAATGAATTGCAGCAAGATAAATTGCTGTCTCTTATACACATCTAGATGTGTATAAGAGACAGCCTATGGACAATCCAAGTGAGTTCATTTTTACAGGAAGAGTTTTTTCCTTTCAATCCCTAGTAATATTCACACAATCAGCAGATTCAGGGGATGGTGACAGAAAATTTTTCAAATAAAAATGAATATGGAGAAAAATTACATTCATATTTTTCATCTGAATTTATAGTCTAGAAGTGTCACAGATCTGCTGCTCCATCTGTAAAATTGATTATCTGGGCCCTCTATTTCAAATTATTGGATCCACCACCGACAATGTTTATGTAAATGTCTAAAGAAAACATTTCTAAAGTGTTTCTGATAGTAACTATAAAAGGTATAATGTATGTTATAAAATACACAATGACTTCCAATTAATTATTCTTTCATTTATTCTAATATAATTTCTATATAAAATAATCTTTTAAAGCAAATTGTTTATTTATATTATGATTTTGCTATGCATTAATTTATATATTGTTCTTTCAGATGGCCGTTTCCCTTACACTTTCAAGCTCTGTTTTTCAAATTCAATGCATGCACAATAAAACACTCCAGCTATGTTTCTGAGCTGTTGTCATAATTAAACATAATT